TAATTTAATTTTCAATTTATGTTTCATAATTTATTATTACAATTATTTTATTAAATATTTAATAATAATGTTAACAAAATGCAAAGAGGCATGTAATTATATAGAGAAAGTTTCAAACAGAAAAATAATAATCTATTATATTTGTAAAATTTGTCTAAAAATAATAATAATTGTGGAATAATTTTTTTTTAAAACTAAAAACACTTTTTTATTCAAGGTAATATTATTTTCATAATAATTTAATTTATTACAATAATTATTTTATTATAATTTAATAAATTTCATTATTTTAAAAAAGCGCGCGCTATTTTGTCTTGGGCCAATAAAGTGATTTGAACTAAATCTAGGTTATGTTCGTGTCTGATTCATGATAGCTGCAAATATTTACAACAAATAAATACTTTGCAAGTGTATATTTATTGCAAATAAGTAAGTTATGCAAAATATATATGTGGTACAATAATTTAAGGTGATTTTTTAATAAAATGAATATTGATTTAGATGCTCTGGAAAGCAAAGTTCATTTTTTCTTACATTCGATTTTTTCGACTATCGAGATATTTCGATACATTTTCATGTGCTTTGCATGCGCGCGCATCGTCCCTTCCTAAATATCGTCATTTCGATTTAGCCATTGTGGAAGCAGCCTTATGCCTTAAAAAGACGATTTTTTCCCCGCATTTTCGAAAAAAGCAAAAATTGATTGGCGCACATAATCAAAAATCATGAATTCAATTGATATTTATTTTATTTCGACTAGGAACCTATTTTTCCTTTTAAAACGCATTGGTATATATATATATGATATAGTAACTCGACGCAAAATCAATTGTCGCGGGCTTCGATACGTATCACTGTCCGCACCTATATAGAAGTTTGGAGTGTCAAATTATCAGGTCTCGCGCATATATATAATAGTATTTTGAGAATTCCAATGGAATTAATTGTAACTGGCAAGTGGCAAGGTTATTACATTTTAAGCCCGATTGTAAATCGACAACTTAAATTGAAATGAGAGAAATGGAGGAAAAAGAGCATATATGCAAAATACATGTGTATATGGTCCTGAGAAATATATATATATATATATATATAGGTATAAATATATATAACGGGGGTGAGAGAGAGAAGGCCATTGGAATTATCAATGCATCGTGTTGCTGTCAGTAACGAGGTATTAGCGCATTCATATCGCATTCCAAACCCCTCTACATAACTATCTGACTTGAACCTGTTCACCCGGTCGTTTGGCGCTATGCGCACTTGTCGCGTGAAACTCGATATATATATATATATATATACAGTACTCTATGGATATATGTGCAATATATATATATATATATGTTCACGCAGGTGTTTTTTGTGCGTGTAGAGTGTTAAGAGTTTAGACACACGTGTGTCTCGTTTGTATATCGTTGAATCCACTTCGAAGATGGGGATATATTTTATCTCATTTTCACTGAACATACCAGACGTACGTGTTACGTTAGGAATTATTTTTTGGCTCTGATGGTGCATATTTTCACGCGAAAGCTAGTTGAAGATTCTTGTTTGGTATGCGCGCTCACTTGGATGATATATATATAATAAAGTTACTTTTTCGGGAATCTAGTATTCTTATCATTTTGCAAACTAAAACTATTTTTATTTAGTGAATTTTTTTTTTTGGAAATAATTCTTTGATATCTGAGTGCAAAAAGTAGAAATTTTATTTATAAGACAAATTGGTGGTCACTTTTAAGATATTTGCAAAAAGTTACAAAAATTTATTTTAAAGTGTATTAATTTTTAAAATGTAAGATATGGTTACAATAAAGATAGATTTTAAACTTTTTAAAAGTGACTACAACACAGAAAAAACGCTGGGTAAATTTTGTTGCGGGTAATTTTCACCAATGCTAATTCACATAGACGGTGGCGCCCTCAACTAGGATAAAATTTGTTGCAGGTAATTTTTATACCGATTTTGGGGTAAAAATTCTACTTTTTTTTTCGTGTGTAATGTATTTTAAGATATATACTTCTTTTAGCGCAGTGTTCAACTAATATTTAGCTACTTTACTTTCTAAATCTGAAAATTAGTCACTTTTGACTAATTTAACTGCGCCGATTCGTTCATTATATAAATTAGTAGCTGTTTTCTTTAATTTTTAGTCGAAATAACTAATGGCTAATAGAAAATGTGACTGATTGATAATAGAGAACTACTAAGTCATTTATTAAAGTTTACTAATTGAAATAGTACACAGAGAAAAAAATGGAAAAACGAATAAAGTAACTTTTACTATACTTGAAAAGTAAAATCTGAACTGTCCGGAGTTTCTGCACATTTCTGGTAATTTTTACTCCAAAAATAGTAAAATTTACTACGAAAATAGTAAAATTTACTCCTAAAATAGTAAAATTTACTCCTAAAATAGTAAAAATTATTCCGAAAATAGTAAATTTTACTCATTTCGGAGTAAAAATTATCAGAAATGCGCAAAAACTCACGATAGTTCAGGTATTACTTTTAAAGTATAGTAAAAGTTACTTTATTCGTTTTTACATTTTTCTCTGTGTAGTATTATTAAATGAATTAGTAGTTTTGTACTAACAATTAGAAATTTTCAACTGTAAGTTTTAGTAATTTTTCACTAGTAATTACTAATTTTCAGTAAAATATTACTATTTGATTTAGTAGTTTTAAATTTTTTTTACTAAAAATTAGTAAAAATTGTCAAATTTAGAGAGCACATTCATTTCTTAAAGTTTGTTAATATAAATATAGTAGCCTTACTAAATGAATTAGTATGTATATTTCCACTATTAGTCATTTTTTACTAAAAATTAGTAACCGAATTAATTGTATAAAACTACTGATAGTAGAAAATTGCTAATTTATTTATTAAAGTTTACTAAATGAAATTTCTATTATTTTTCAGTCAATAACTACCAATTGATAGTAAAAAACCTAGAAATTGATAGTAGAAAATGACTAATTTATTTTTTACTGTTTACTAATTCAAATTTTGACTGATTTTTAGTCAAATAATGACTAATTGATAGTAGAAAAATACTAAGTGATAGTAAAAAAACTGTTAATTAATTTCAAAAAATTTCCTTATTGAAATTTTGACTAAATAGTCAAAAATGTCATATTATTAGTAGAAAATTAATAATTGATAGTAGAAAAATAAAAATTGATATTAGAAGAGTACTTATTAATTTTTTTATATTTAATAATGTTTACTAATTTAAATTTTCACTAATTATTAGTCAAATATGACTGAATGATAGTAAAAAAACTACTTATTTGATAGTTAAATTGTACTAATTAATTTATTTAAATTTATTGATTGAAATTAGGACTATTTTGAGTCAAAAACTACAAAAAAAACTACAAAAAATGTTGTAAGTAATTGTAAGAAACTACTGAATTGATAGTACAAAACTGCTAATTTATTTATAATTGAAATTTTTATTAGCTTTTAGTAAAAAATGACGATTTTACGAAGTAGTTGTTTTTTACTAACAATTATTTATTTTTGACTAAAAATTAGTAACCATTTTGACTAATTGGTAGTAGAAAACTACTAACTCATTTTTTAAAATTTACTATAGTTGAAATTCTATAGCCTCACGTAATAAATTAGTATAGTTTTCTATTAACAATTAGTTTTTTTTTTACTATAAGAATTAGTCAAAACACTTACTAATTCATTTAGTGAACGAATCGCCTTAGATGAATTTTAGTTAAAAGTAACTAATTTAGACTCCAATTATAATATAGTAATAGCTATAACTACAATTGTATACCGATAAAAATTATATTGTTAGCTATACACCGAAAAAATGAAACTTTTAATTTAAGAATATTTTCTTGTCGCCTATTCAAGAATATTTCTCATACATTTTATTCTTGAAATTCGAATAATAAATCTCTTCAAATAAAAATAAATTGTATGAGAAATATTCATAAATAGGCGCCAAGATGATATTTTTAAATTTAGAATTACGTTTTTTTACTGTGATTATCCGAATAATTAGCTTTTATAGTTAGCATGTTCTGCTGTCCCAGCTAATTATTAGCTATATAACAGCTAAAAATTAGCTATCCCAGTGAAGAAATTTCTGCTAGAAAATCTTATTAGTTAATCTCAGTGTAGAAATTTCTTAGAGGAAATCTTATCAGCTATCCCAGTGAAGAAATTTCTTCAACAAAATCTTATTAACTATATGTATCCAAATGCAAAAATTTCTTTGAGAAAATCGTACTAACTATCTCAGTGCAAAAATTTCTTTGATCAAATCTTTATTGTCGCATATTTCGATTTACATATATACGGGAAAAGATCAAATCTGACAAATAGCTTAGCATCTTTTGTCTCCTTTCAAAAATGGTTCACAATAGAAAAAGAAGTGAAATCGTAATAATACACACAGCGCGAATTACAAAATTCCTTTATGATACCTGGATGCGTTTTCTAAACATATATGGTATATATATACCTATATATATTATGATAAACCTGCAGGTATTATATACGCAAGCTCTCATCGTCCAGGGAGGGAAAGAGGCAGGTATTGGCGCCACCTCCTGCATGGTTAAAGCGACTGACGCCTTACCGCCTCTCAACCCCACTCTCTCTCTCTCTCGCTCGCTTTAACTCCCCCCGAATCCCTCCCTCTCTTCCTGGTGTCCCTCTCCCGTTGATGCTGCAACTCGAGCTCGAATAACCTAGCCTAACCCGCGGGCGAACTTCATTCCACGCCGACTGACCATCACCGACGGCTGTCCTCGTCGTGGTCGTCATCATTATCCTGATACCAGAGAAAAAAAAAGATAAAGAGAGAGATAGACAATAGTTAAGGAGGGAAGAGTGGTACCGCGGGGGTCGCGGTGCAAAATCTTCTTCTTTTACAAAAAAAAACTATATTGGTACCCCCGGTAATGCGCGATCTTCTCTTCAAGTGAATGTGACTGATAAGTGATGTGTGTGTATGTGTGATTTTTACAGGAAATATTCTCGAAAAGACAAAAAAAAAAAAAGGAGAAAGATACTTTGGTCCCATCAGGGATCCGAAGAAATTCTTTGGTGAATTCTTCTTTTGGTGAACGGATTTTATGTGAAGGTGCGCAAAAGAAAACAATAGTGGAAGAATTAGAAGTAGACAATAGAAGAAAAGAGGATGGACATTTCAGAGGATTGTTGGGACCACGTGGGGCTTCTTCAGGAGGTCCCGGGAGCGGAACAACCACCACCGCCACCCCCTACCTCTGATTTTCTCATGCATCATCAACACGAGGTTAGTGGTCCTTTCTCTCCTCTTTGAAAAAATTTAGGTATCATATATGTGGTTAGGTTAAATTTCGCTAAGGCAAAACTATGGTTAGGTAAAATTTCGGAGGGGTAAAATTATGGTCGGGCAAAACTATGGTTGGATAAAAATTATGGTTGGGTAAAAATTTAGTTGGGTAAAATTATGGTGCGGCAAAATTTCAGTGGAATAAAATTATGGTTAGGTAAAACTTTGGTGCGGTAAAATTTTGGTAGGGCAAAACTACGGTAAGGTAAAATTTTTATGCGGCAAAATTATTGAGGGCAAAAATATGGTAACGTAACATTATAGTGGGGTAAAACTATGGTTGGGTAAAATTATAATTAGGTAAAACTTTGGTGCGGTAAAATTATGGTGGGGCAAAACTACGCGGTAAGGTAAAATTTTGGTGCGGCAAAATTATTGCAGGCAAAAATATGGTAACGTAAAATTATAGTGGGGTAAAACTATGGTTGGGGAATTTTGATAAGGCAAACCTACGGTTGGATAAAATTATAATTAGGTAAAACTTTGGTGCGGTAAAATTATAATGGGCAAAACTACGGTAAGGTAAAATTTTGGTGCGACAAAAATATGGTAACGTAAAATTATAGTGGGGTAAAACTTTGGTGCGGTAAAATTCTAATGGGCAAAACTACGGTAAGGTAAAATTTTGGTGCGACGAAAATATGGTAACGTAAAATTATAGTGGGGTAAAACTATGGTTGGGTAAAATTTCGGTAGGGTAAAACTATGGTTTCGTAAAATTTTGGTGGGACAAAACTACGATAAGGTAAAATTTTGGTGCGGCAAAATTATTGTGGGCAAAAATATGGTAACGTAAAATTATAGTGGGGTAAAACTATGGTTGGGTAAAATTTCGGTAGGGTAAAACTATGGTTTCGTAAACTTTTGGTGGGGCAAACCCCAGGTTTGGATAAACTTTCGGTAGGGTAAAATTATGATGGGTCAAACCTACGGTTAGGTAAAATTATGATTAGGTAAAACTTAGGTGCAGTAAAATTATGGTGGGACAAAACTATAGTAAGATAAAATTTCGTGTGGGTAAAACTTTGGTTCGGTAAAATTATGGTGGGGCAAAATTGTGATTGGGAAAAATTTGGGATAGGCCAAATTTCAGTGGGGTAAAATTATGGTTAGGTATAACTGTTGCGGTAAACTAATGATGAGGCAATACTATGGTTAGGTAAAATTTTAGCGGGGCAAAATTATTGTGGGACAATACTATATGGTTGAATAAATTTTCGATGGTGTAAAATTATGGTTAGGTAAAATTATGGTGGGGCAAAACTATGGTTGGTAAAATTTCGGTAGGATATAGAATAATATTGGGGCCAAATTTCTGTGAGGTAAAATTATGATTATGTAAAACTATGATGGGCAAAATTAGGATTGAGTAAAATTTCCGTGGTGTAAAATTATGGTGCGGTAAATTCCGGATGCCCAAAAAAAATTATGGTAGACTGCACCCAAATATTACTATAACTGTGTAATAATATTAAAAAAAATTTTATCAATAAAAAGGTAAATTTTTTTCAATGGTCTTTTTGATACCAGCAAAATTGTTACGCGCGCACCAAATATAAAAAGCCCAATGGGGCAATCATGATTAATTAATAACAACAAAAAATAGAAATTATTTTGGAATTCTTTCCTCAATTGAGTATATATAGCGCGCATTGATAATAAAGGACACTGTTATGGACGTTTGGTGATAGGCGATGACATTTTAAAGATTAGTTATTAAAGATAAATGAATCATCGATGATAAATGATTCATTGATGACAGTTGATTTATTGATGATAAATGATCAACTTTTGTGGACTAACGGCCAATACATATATATATAGTTGATACTAGTCGATTAACTAATTATTTATTACTATTTAATTTCATTTTCAAAATTCATTTATTTTTATATTATTTACTATTACCCTTCATTATTTTAATTACTGTATTCAATTTATTTTCTTATATTTGAATTAGGCAAAATTTTAACTGATTTGAATTAGTGACTTGCACTTTTTGCTTTTGAATTAGTTAAATTTTACTAATTCCATAGTAAAAAAATTATTTTTTTACTAAATTTTTATTACTACTGCAATTTTGCTTACTAACTTGGATTAGTAAAAGTTAACTAATTCTAAAGCAAAATTTGAATTACCAATTCAAATTAATTAATTGTAGTAGTATAAAAATAGTAAAAAATTGTTTTTCTGTTGAATTAGTAAAATTTAATTAATTCTAAAGCAAAACGTGTGTATGCTAATTCAAATTAGTTAAAATTTTTCTTAATCCAAATTTAGAGAGTAATTTACTGTATTTAATAATTTACCGTATCAATTGTTTCACATTTATTTTAAAGAAGTCTTAACTAATATTCATGATCCAATCGCTAATATATATATGTAAATACATATTGTCGTGAAAAAGTTAATTTAAAGTTAATAAAATTAATGAATTGAATCGTCTACATCAATGCGGGCCATTAGGTTTGAACATTACATATATGCATATTTAATGTCGTCAGTATATATATGTAAGTAAAAAATCATTATTAAATTTGAAAAATTAATGTTATAGGGACATTCAAAAATAACTATACAATTAAATTCAAAAGCTGCGCGATGGTGTTCCAAGTCATAAATCATTTATGCAATTATTATATATATACATATGTTATTTCTTCATATATATCTTTTCGCGTTATTAAATGCGACAAATCGTTTCTTTAATAAAACATATATATTAAGGCGTGTGTGTTTCTTTTTATACTTTACAATCCTGTGATTTGTAAAACATAAAAAAAAATCGTAAATAGCAATCATGATATTAATCTCTACTATCAAATTTTTATTATTTAAATTAATAATAATTGCTTTAGATTTACTGGGTAATTTTTTCCCAAAAAAAAAGTAATTCTTTTAGCTAATTAATTAATTAAATTAAATGAATTAATAAATAATAATACGCGGAAAAAAATCTTTATCTGAAACAGCAATATGTTTCTTTAGAATAACGAAATAAATAATTAAGTGAATTGTAGATTTAATTTAATAATTTTTAGTTTGTTAGTAGTTTTTGTTGCAAATCTTCTATATAAAGTAAAGAATTCAGTATATATATGATTACGTAAAATTATATAGTTAAAGCAAAAAAATACTTAATTTTTCTTTCAAACTAAAAATTAAAAAGATATATCAAAAATACCGTAATTTTTGTTTTTAAATGTATAATAATATCTGATGACAATAATGTCATGAAAAGATTGTACATAAATATTCATACCATTTTATTAAAAAAAAAAAGCCACCAACTCAACGTAATTTTCTATGTTCGAGAAGGTTAATTATTTATTAAGTTTATCTAACATTTAAGATCAATGTTAATTATTTTTATTGCGGTAGAACACGCATGTGACGCTACATATACTTTATAGTACAAGATAACTCGTCGTTCGATCCATCCCATAGAATATATATTTCACATTAAATAACGAATGTCTCTATTTAGCATAAAATTCGAAGCTATATATGCCAAAACTTTTTTTTTCCCAACTTATATTCAAAAAATAAGCATTTACAAGAATGCGTTCACACCTTTTTTAATATTTATATAATTGAAATCTTGTTTTCATTTTCTTATGAAATCTTTTACCTGAATTTTTTTCCCGCATACACTGATTGAATTTTAAAAAATCCCCTTAATTAATTTTTTATACTATTTAGAGACGGAAAAAAATTTATTGTAGCAATCACATAAGGAAAAAAAATTTATCTGAAACAGCGAAAGATTAGTAGTAAAATTTTTGCTACTTTAGTAAAACGTTTCGCTGTTGTAGGTAATTTTTTTTTCCGTGCAACTCCAATTCTAAATTGTAAAAACTGTGCTTTAAACAAAGAAAATATTTTTTCCAACAGGGGCAAATCACAAAACAATATCTGTTTTTTCACAAAAAATTTTTGAGTTCCCCAAAAAAATTTTTTGTTTACAAGTCCGATTTGTGTATTTCCCAAAATCAACTGTTTTGTCGAAACTACAACAACTGTAGTTTGTAGATAACACATGAGATCCTGCAGATAAACAACAAATTTTTTTCCGTGTACTAAATAATTATGATAAACAATATTTGGAATAATTTTATTAGTCCATTTTGCTTGAAAAAGAAAAAAAAAAGTTTTAATCAATCAAGATCAGAATTTTGCAGCTGTCATGGCATATACGAATCGAATCGAAATATAACAAGATGATAGTTTGTTTGATCGCGAAACCCTGCAGTATATAATCAGAACAATCTTTGGGATTGTGTGTATAAAAATTTTCGATGTCATTATATCGCTTCCGTTATAGGTTTATCGATGGTTGTCTTTTTGAATAAATATATATATATATATATAAGAGAGAAAATAATCTCGTTCTGTTTCAATTTTGAACATATATATATAACAAGGGGTTTCTGAAGGGGTTCCAAGCTGTATATATGGAGGTTAGTCTGCCCTGTAATCATCTAAAAAAAAAAATTATAGGCATTTAGGTTTGGGGAATGAATGAATAAGGTTTAGCGCGGCAAAGTGGATGTATCGGTGGCGTTAGGGGCGCGTGCAGCCTTTTTTTTCTATTTTGATCTGACGTTCGTCTGCCTTTATTTTTTTTCACCTTTATACTTCTCTCGTTCTTCTTATTATCCTTATATATACTCTCTTCACTCGTCTTCTCCTTTAGCAGAAAAATATCTGCACCTGCCTTGCTTGATCGTGACCATATTCACTTCCAGATATATATATATGTTTCCCTTTATAAGCTATATATAATATTATTCCTTATCTTCAGTGAATAATGATATTACGTGATTGTATTTTATAAAAAGGTGCTTGTATATAATCTGAGTGAACTTCAAATCTGATTTTAATTTACAATTTTGCAGATCCAATATGATTTTGAATTGAAAATTTCGTTGCTATAATCACATGCCGATTTTGGCTTACTTCAGAAGGAGAACCAATAAGAGCTTTGAAGAATTTTACTTGCTGAATCTGAATTTGACCTAAAATAAACCTGCATATAAAAAAACTAAGAATATTCGTTGAATGTGATTAGTTCGTCGT